GTGCTGGTGAAATTACAGGCCCATGGGACGTGTCAACTATGTCTCAGGGTGACAGACGCAGTGGTAGTGTCTCTCAGATCTTTGCCATTTAAAGCTTTGAGTTGCACTGCAACTGTTGTAGACAGGCGTGTAGCTTACCATCAGGCCCACGACTTGTTCGTCCCGTCACTTGAAATTATAAAAAAAATAGAGCTTCTTTATCTTAATTAAAACAACTATTTAGAATAATATGGACTTAGCTTGAGCTGTTTTTCAGACTCATCCTTTTGGTGAAACTAGCTACATTTTATAGTAATAGTTGCATGACACGTTTCGACTAGACAAGATAAAATTGTCATTAAAATATATGTCTACAACTTAAATTTAAATGTATGATCGTATTGTTGTGATGTTACCTAATAGCGTGTATTTCGACTTATCCGAAGAACAGAGTCGTGATTATGTAGCGAAAAGAGTATAAGTACGTTACGAGAATATTTTCGTTAATCAAACTAAGGCCTATGTCTTTACATACATACTTACTACTACTTACTTACTTACTTACTTACTTACTATACTTTGTACTTTAGATACTTTGGTTTAGATACTTTGGCTTTTAGATACTCAGATACTTTAGGTACTTTGAGAATTTATGTATCTTATTTCGTTTCGGAAATATAAAATCGAACAACGGTCGATCTGACATCCACAGCGAAGAAGAATGGACGAAGTGTACTATGTCCTGAGAACAAGTACTCTTACACATAGATCTCTGTTCTACAGATGAGTCGATTTTTTAAATAAGACTACAATTTGGGCTTTTTAGGGGTAATGGTCAGCCGTGACCATGAGATCTGTACAAAGCCTGAAAGTTGGTTTATTTTGTACGAGATTTGGAATAAAAATACATAAAATATTTCAGTGCTTTTAATAACTTGTCTGAACCGGAATCAACAATTTCAAGTTTTTTTTTTTCAATTTTAATAGAGCTGTGACATACAGACATGTTGTAACTGTAAGCGTTCATAATTTTACTGCGGAATTCTAAAAAAGAGAGAATGCATAATCGCAAGTTGATTTCCTTACGTTGTATTTAGCGATAGTTCACGTACATTATGAAGGATGACTTTGGAGTAATAGAATTTGCGACCGATTGTGTAAGAAACGTCTTTTATAATAGTAATTGTGATTTTATTGACGCGGTGGATAGCTTCGAAGACATCCGTGCCCATCTGTGGCATGCATATTTTTTATATCTTTCGTTTTTATATCAAACGACGAAACGAACTAATCGTGTCTGGTGGTAAGTGACATGCTTATCTATGACGGTTGCAGTGCCACTCAGAGCTTTAAATTGCAAAGATCTGAGGGGTACTGCCACTGCGCCCGTCACCCTGAGACATGCTCAGTGCCCCTCAAACTATTGCGATTTAAAGCTCTGAGTGGCACTGCAACTGTTATGGACTGGCGTGTAGTTTACCATCAGAGTCACGACTTGTTCGTCTCGTCACTTGATATAATAAAAAAAGGCGTGTCTTGTCGCCAAATTTTCGCCACTTCACCCTTGAGCTCTGCGTATTTACTTATTATTATTAACAAAGTTTGAACTTGAAAACTGTGGAAACATTGAATCGGATAGACGAACATTTTTCGCTCCGATGTTATTAGGCGGCAGATCTGTGAAAAACATTTTTACATAGGTTTACTGCATTCACGGTAATGGCAACCCTATAAGTAAGCTCGTACAATATTACAAAACTGAGATTGTATGCAATTTAACAATGCATAATATATTTAATTGCATACGTACATTATCCCAGTCCATGTTACACATCGTTTTAATACGTGCATTCTACGAGTATTATATACTACACGCACCGGCACATTTAGCGGAAGAATAGTGAAATTAAATAAATAAATATTATTATTATAATAAAGACTACTTACTATAAAGACTTACTATAAAGACACTTGAGGACACTTACTATAAAGAGGAACTTGTGTGTCTTTTGTCAGGCACTATATAAACTTTTGTAATTATGTCATTCAATTTGAACAAAACTTGTTTTACAACACATATTTAGATGTAAATAGTTTTTGCCCGCGATTTTGGGTATCGGTTTTAATCAGATTTAAACAAGGTGTTAACAAATCGCCGCGCCGGGTCAACCAGGGCACTTGCCCATCTCTGGTCATTTGACATCAATTATCACGATGTTGTTCTAATGTAATTTGTTGTCTGAAGAAAAAACTTGTCGAAAAAGTTGTCAACTGTCATTTATTTTTATTTTTTACATGCAGGTTTGTCGAGGTTTTGATGTTGCTTTTGTTTTCTTGTAAATTTTGTAATTTTAAGAGATTTTTAGTTATAAAATTTTATCAATGTTTCACTGTTACAATTTTTATATTCAAAACCGTTATTTTTATATTCTCAACCGTTTCTGCTTTTCAACAAAATCTAAAAAAATGCATTTTACTTAATTGAGATTTTTTCAATAGTAGGCTGTCTAATTTAATCGCTACTTTTTGTCTAATTCCTATTTCTTTACACATTAACGTTACTATTTTATATCCTCACCTTTTTTTTCCTTTAAATGTACCGGTGAGTGTAATGCATTAAGCGTGAAGATTTGCGTTGATTTCCTTGAATTAAATTGGTTTTATGTAAATTAATTAGGGTGAATGAATGCACTGATACTGTATTTAACCGCACGTATAGCACTTAGCTTCGGAGCTATTCGAGTTTTACGGAAATTGACGATTGCATTGTTAACCTATTAAATTGCAATGTATTTTAATATTACAGTTTTCTCGTTCACCGAATATTCGTCAGGTTCAAATTGCCTTTTTTGTACTTTTTATAAACATAGCCAGAGAATAAAAAGGTAACCTAGAGCGTAATGAATTTATGTCTGTATATTGTGTAACGTACAAATTAGATACGAGCCAAAAAACAGGGGTGTCTATTCCCGTTTTTCGTTTACATCCGTCCGATACATTTACTGTCAAATAACAACACACTCGACCAAATTAAAAGAAGTATGTTGCGAATGAAGTTTCGTAATTGACATTTGGTCAAGTATTACTTATTTGAGATTATTGTTTCGGATGGAAGTTGGACGGTGTACGGGAGTAGACCTCCAGGTTAGGAGAATTCTCCGGCAGTCTCGGGAATTACTGCAGCTATATGTTCCCAAACTTTTTGACTAACCGTCTCAAACACATATTTTTTATATTAATACACAAAAAATAATTTGGAAAAAAAACCCGCCCCCAAGGACTCTTCATCGCCCACTGGGGGGACCACTTTGGGAAACTATGAGCTCTCGTATCGTATCTAGTTTGTAAGTTACACAATTGACACAAAGTTCATTATGCTATGTACAATTTCGTAATAAAAAAATCGCAGCTGTATCGTCTGAAAACTCAGTATATGCATAGCCTTATTTACTACCGAAACACAACCCAATTAAACACCAATAACGCACGATTGGGAAATGGTTTCGAATCTCAGTAACCGTGTTAACTACAAGTCAGTAAAACGCACTATAACTATGTAATAAGAATAGCTGTTGCAAACGAGAAACGCGCTGGTCAAGTCTGATTAAAGAGCTTATTGAACATGCAAATGGGATTGCACGAACAGTAATGCTAACATTACTGCTTGTCGGCAGAAATGGGTAAGGTTTAAGTACTTCCCTGGACTAACTCTCGCACAAGGAGCTCTACTGCTACTTACATGTGATGAAAGCCTTTTGACTTACATGTGGCCAGTGACGGATTTGCCCTAAGGCCCAGTAGTTCCGGGCCTAGGGCGGTCAGATTTTAGAGACGGCCAATCGTGACAAAAAATTCACTGATAAAAAAACTTAACACCATTTTAAATGTTTTATTTAAATCTGAAACTTCCAAAAATATTAAAAACTAGCAGCTATTATAATCAACTAAATTTTTGACATGATTTCCATAAATGTAAAACTATGTTGTCTTCCAGTATATGATTGAGTCCTGAGAAAGGGGCTGATACTGACTTCAAGGCCTGGGACCCAGGGCGACCAAGACTGCAAATCCGTCACTGCATGTGGCTTTATTGTACCAATTATAAATCATTAACAATTCTTATCATAAATTACAAAACAATACATAATTTGTGTTGAATGTAGGTTCTTGACACTTGAACGGACAACGAGAATAAATGAGATTTTTTAACAAATTTTCCATAATCAAAATTGACTGACATTAAGTTAAATTTTTGAAATAGACGCTAGACATCTGCACGAAGTTACAGATGACGTGTTTGTTGCAAATCAATCGAACGTAGAGCTTAAGGCCCAATTTATATACCGCGGAACAAAATGGAAATGAATTTTAGTAACTGTAACATTATTAACTTTATGCTTATATACTTTAATATATAAGCATATATCGGGAAGTACAAATACTTCCCGACGTTCGTAGGGACGTGGATAGCTCCCTGGAACGCTTAAGAAAAGAGACTGACCCGCGACACCCATTACATCACCACGTGCAAGTAATCCAGAGGCTATAGAGTCGCCATAGCTTTATTAAAGAAGTATACCTACCCTCTAGACTGGTAAACTAACCAAGCCCGAATAAATCTTTGAAAGGAGAGATACCCCACGGCATCATTCATCGCGCTGTAGGAGCTTCTCCCTCCTGGGCATGAAAACTTGGAAGTCTCTAAGTCGGCCGAAGCAAGGAGAGTTTGCTTGGGTGGGGCTTGTAGCTCGGAGAGCGCATGCCTGTATGGTGTCTCATACCATGACACATCTTTTCTCCTGCCCTACAACTAGATACGACAACAACAACAAAACAACAAACTAGATACTAGCTAAAACAGGTTGCACGTCTTTCGGAGAATTCTCGCGTAGTCTCGGGAATTCCCGCTACCGTATCGTATCTAATTGATGCTTATGCTATATAAAATTATCCTTCGCGGCTGTGTAAGTTAGAGATATTAGAACTCCATCATTAATTGATGATTTATATTTTACTAACAGCTCGGCAAATGCTAAGAAATGGGAGGTAGAGCTGGCAACGTTGAAAAGCAACAACCTACGACTGACTGCCGCATTGCAAGAGAGCACCGCGAACGTCGACGAGTGGAAACGGCAGCTGCATCAATACAGGGAAGAGGTGGCTCGTGCAAGGCAATATGCTGGGAAAGGTAAAATTAATCTTACAGATGTAGTGAGTAAACATAAAATATCGGAAAAACGCGGAAATAACGATTCTGTTTATGATACCAAGCGACGGGACGAACAATTCGTGCATGGTGGTCAGCAACAGGCGTGTCCATATGATAGATGCAGTACCACTCAGAGCTTTAAATCGCAAGGATCTGAGGGGCACTGCCACTGCGCCTGTCACCTTGAGACACCACTAATGCTTACATCGTGGCTTGATGGCAGAAATAGATGAGGTAGCAAGTGCAAGTTCAGACGGAAAATTAACGAGTGTCTATTAGAAGCCCGAAGTCGAAGGCTGAGGGCTTTATTAACTCGAGTTTTTTGTATTTATATACCGTCCGTGACACATATGATGTTTTTTATCATATTTGCGAGGAAATAAATACAATGTTTATTTCTTGTATGAATAAATAAGGTTCACAATATAACAATTATGGATTTTGCATATGGCGGGTTTTTATTTGTCAACAGATGGCCATTCTTCTATAGATAATAATACAACTCGAAATAAAATATTGTAAAAAGCAAAGATGCACACAGCCATCATGGATTGTAAAAAAAAGTACTGAATTTTTATACAGAAAATAATTATAATCAATTATAAGAAATTCTCAACAATAACAGCCTTACTTATAAACACTATTTAACTTTAAACAGTGTTTTAAAAAATTCTTACCTATAAACATTGATTCGAGGCATATGATTGATTAATTTATTGTTTAAATAGCTGTCAACTTAAACACTCTAGGAAACTTGTTTCACTCGCTAACTATCAAGATGGCTGACATTAATCAGCCGTTACTAGGTTAGAAAACGTCAATGAGTTAAGCAGATTTGTTTTTATTTTTACTGTGAGATAATTTTTACTTGAATTGTGAAAAATGGAAAATATTACGCCGAAAATTTTAGCAGATTTGCGGTACTTTTTTTTTTTTTTTTTTTTTTTTATTGTGACTCGGCAAAATGACTGCACCGCGCCTGATGGAAAGTGCGAATACAGTCCAGAGATGAGAGTAACGGATGGAAAACACAAATATCTTCACTCCGTCACTATCATTTTGCCGGTCTGGCCAAATGCTTCTTCACACTACGTTTGAAGGACCCGATGTTATAGAGGGGAGGGAATACATGCGCCGGGAGTTGGTTCCACAATTTGATGGTTCGGCATAAGAACGAATTGCCAAACTTTTTAGTGCGGGACGGTATTAAACTGACCGTCCAACTGTGGCAACGCAGTCCGGCACGGGTGGTCCGCTGATGGAAAGGAGAGGAAGGGATAAGGTTGAATAACTCTTCAGAGCACTCACCGTGGTACAGGCGATAGAATACGCTAAGAGACGCTATATCTCTGCGAAGCTGTAACGACTCCGCATGCTCAGTTACATGAGGATTGTTGACAACACGGAAGGCGTAGCGCTGCAGTCCATCTAGGGCATCGAGCAAGTACTTGGCAGAGCCGTCCCAAAGGTGCGAACAGTACTCCATGCTGCTTCGGACCTGAGCTTTATACAACAGGTATCGCAGCTCTGGAGTAAAAAATCGGTGCACCTTGTTCAGGATGCCAAGCTTGCGCGACGCGGTACAGATGACGCTCTCTATATAGTCTTTGTTGCTCATGTCCTTCCGGATGCTCATCCCCAGCAGGCTGAGCTTGTCCTGCAGCGTCAGCGTTGTACCCTGAAGATGGGGAAGTGGAAGGAATGGGGATTTTTTGGAACTGAACGCGCATACCTGGGTTTTCTTGGCGTTGAACTCAACCAAGTTTCGGGAGCCCCACGACGATATATGTTCCAAAACATGGTTGAGCTCAGCGACAAGTTTTTCCCGGTTTCTCTCAGGGTCCTCCCGGCTGCTTGACGGTTGCTTATAATAGCAACCGTGCACTGTGCTATCATCTGCATAGCAATGAATGTTGCCAAAAGGCAACAAGTCATTGATATGCAGAAGGAACAGCGTGGGCGACAGCACGGAGCCCTGTGGCACCCCAGCATTAACTGTCACGAGCTGCGAAGTGCCTCCGTCAACAAGGACACGCAATCTTCGCTCGCGCAGAAAGCCGGAGATCCACTCACAAAGGCGGCCGGGAAGACCATATGCCGGAAGCTTGGAGAGGAGACCACGGTGCCAGACCCGATCAAAGGCCTTAGCAATATCCAGACTTATCGCTAAGGTTTCGCCCTGTTTGTCGATAGCTTCACCCCAGAGATGCATTAGATACGCTAGAACGTCACCCGTTGATCGGTTCGGCCGAAACCCGTACTGTCGATCATTAAGAATGGAGTGACGTTTCAGGTGCCGGATTATCTGGATATTTAGAATCCGCTCCATCACTTTGCAGAGCACTGAAGTGACAGCTATTGGGCGATAGTTTGTCGGATCAGACCGATCTCCTTTCTTGGGGATAGGTTGCACGTTGGCCTCCCTCCAAGCTAGGGGCACGTTACCAGATTGGTATGAGAGGCGGTATAAGCGCGTCAGTACGGGAGACATCTCCGCCGCACACCTTTTAAGGACGATAGGAGGTATCCCATCTGGACCATAGGCTTTCCGCACGTCAAGAGTCTGCAGTTCCTTGCGGACATCACATTGCCTGATAACTATATCAGGCATTGTGACTCCGCAGTGGGGAATTGACGGCGGTTGCGCATCTTGGTCGTGAATGCGTGAGTTAGCCCCAAAAAGGTCGGCCAATAAATTGGCTTTCTCTTCGGGGCCATAGGCCAAAAATCCATTGGGATACCTCAAAGGCGGCAGCGACGAACGACAAAAATTGGACTGCACGGCTTTGGCCAGGCTCCAGTAGGCACGGCTACCGGTGGGATGGGCTACCAGCTTCTGGCCAATCCGTGAAACGCGCTGGGCATCCGCTCTTATGTAAGCCCTCCTGCAAGACTTGGTTGCTTTGTTATAGGCTGCTTTAAGGGACGCAAGGTTGGGATCCTTTGTTACACGACCCTTGATCCAACCACGATATGCAGCCTGTTTCTCACTAACAGCGTCCATGCATTCGCGATTGAACCAAGGGCGTCCTCTGCGATTGGCGATGACACTGGAAGACGGTATGTAGTAATTCATAGCCGTTCCAATCTCATCGACAACAGCATCGGCAGCTGCTGAGGCATCCTTTCCCGCAAAGCAGTGCTGCAACCAAGGGATGGACGCAAAGTAGTCGCGCATACCATCCCAATCCGCCGACGAGTAGTGCCAAATGCGACGAGTGACCTCCTTCAGCTTAGTTGGAGGCATTTGGGAAACCTTACACCCAACCAAACAGTGATCAGAACTTCCCAGGGGGGCGCTGACTGATACTGTATAGTAGGTAGGGTGACTCGCGAGCAGAAGGTCAAGCAAAGAGGGTGCATGATCCGATATGTCTGGAACCCGGGTGGGCTGGGTTACCAGTTGGGTCAAGTCATGCGTGAGAGCGAAAGCGTGGGCAGTTCTTCCTGCATGGTCAGTCTTGAGGGAACTTAACCATGATTCATGGTGAGCATTAAAGTCCCCCAACATGACCATCTCCGCAGATGGGAACTGCGCCTGCGCGTCAAGAGTCGCCTGGCTCAGTTGGTCAAAGAGCCTAGTTGTCTCCGCATCCCCGCTGTGGGATCTATATAAGCACGCGAAGACTCTAGCTGAACAACTAGATTCTACGAGCACCCACATAGTGGAAAAGGAGGGGTCCTCCAGGCAGCGCAGACGGCGACAGCACACATCCGAACGAATATATACACATACCCCGGCTTTGGCCTGAAAGTTTTCCTCAAGCGAGTAGCCGGGGTAGTTCAAGTAACTCATATCATTCGGACGGCGAATCTGCGTCTCCGTCAGGAAAAGCAGGGCAGGCCGGGCTGTCTCGAGGTGATGGTGGACAGCTTTGAGGTTGGAGTGGAGTCCGCGGATGTTAGCGAACTCAATAATAAATGCGGTGGGGGGATTAGGCACCGCTGAACGATCTGCATTCTTATGTTGCGCTGTCATGGTGGGTAAGAAGGACGGTAGTGTGAAGAGATGAAGCCTTCGGCACTGCACCGAAGAAGAAAAATGAGGGGAACTGCAATACATGCCGTTGATCTTTTCGTTGATCTTTTGAAGGATAGCCGGCTGACCCGCCGAACGGAAGGGCCCCCGTACCCCCCCGGGATATGCCGCCGGGACCCCAAATTCCGGTCACTAACCGGCACGACGACCTACCCCAAGATTATGCGCGGCATGGTGGGGCAGCCTCTAGGGGTAGTTAGTCCCTATTGGGCCCCTGTACTGTACCGCGGGCGGCCAGCGGACAACCGTTTCTACGGGTCTCCCTGGCCGGCAGGTCAACTAGATATCCCTCAACAAGTGACAAGGCGAATATCCGCCTCAGTCCTCCCAGATACCGCGCCGAAAACTCCACGTGCACTGGATATACACCAACTGATCCCTGAACGTGATTCGCAAAAGCGTTTCACTGTGGAGTGTTTTCCGCCGTGTGTACTGTGGTCGCTATCCAGTCGGCACAAAGCCTACTTTAGACGGAGGCGCTCAAAGACAAAGAAACGATACCATCCACTGCACCAGTTAAATGAACATGAATTTGGGAAATTATATCGTTTTTCCAAACACAAATGTTAAAGATAGACAATGAGTTGGTTAGTATTTGTCTTTGATTCAATTTTCAGATTTTCGCTCTAAATGTCAAATGACAGCCATCTGACCGCAATTTTTTTTTTCTGTTTTTTGGCTTTCTATATCTATTTTTAATGGTTTAATCTTCTAATGCCATGGTAATTATTTTTTCTTTTACTTAACTAAGCAGTTTTTAATTATTTTTTTTTATACTTAATAGAAAGTTAAATTGTGCTTAAAATCTTAAGTAATGCTTAACTAAATATTGTTTAAAGGGATGTTTAGTTGTTTTTTATTACTAAGGCTGTAAGAATTGAAGTAGTAATTACATGGTTGAATTGCAATGAAATTTCTGTTTAGATAACATTTTAAGCGAGTGTTTTAATTTTGAACTTTAGTAACCTTGCTTGATATTGAACTTGACATGTGTAGGACCAATTTGGGGAATGAATTCTTCTTAATTGATTTTGGTTTGAGTGTTCTGTGTTAATAGTGTTCCAAAGAGAATTTCGTGGCTCTGGCACTTATAATACAAGGAATTCTTTACTTAAAGACGAGTTAATTGGAGTGACTATTTGGCATGTAATATTTTAAAAAATCACGGAAGTAAAAACAATGGATGTGGCTTAAGCCTCGATTATTGTCGGAACCGCTGTCGCCAAAACGCATACAAACAATTGATAAATACTACGAAATCTTGATAATGATTGGTCACAGTTTCTAATTTAAAAAGTTTTAACAAATTCTGTTTTATTAATATGATTTAAACTTTACTCAATCGCTACATCGTTGAAAGTTTAACACCTTTATTGCAAGTTACGACGCGACGTTTTGATTTTATATAGAAATTTTATTCAACGTGCGGCCATCTTGCGGGCAGTGGCTAGACTACGACGAAAAATTTACATCTGAATCAATTCGATAAACAGAAAATTTGAACGATGATTTGAAATACTACTGTGGGTAATACTTTTAACAAAGAAAGCATTTTTCTGCGATTTTAGAGAATTTGCGTGAAAAATGACACAACCATACTTTCGAGACCTACCAGGCCCGACGCTAACCACTTCTACTGTATTTATTGTTCTGTAAAAAAAAAATATCAACAGTTGAATTAAATAAATTGCTTTATGTTCCAGGAGGCGACGCCAACGAGGTAGAACAGTTGAGGCAGCGCGTGGCACAGCTCGAGGCGGAACTCGCTCAGAAAAACGAAGAACTGGCACAGATCACCAAGTCCCGGAAGAGTGAACAGGTGACGTAACTTACCCTCTTTTTCTTACCCTTTTGACGACCTCCGAGGTCCAATAGAAAAAGATCGATGCATTATAAAGGCAAATAAAAATCGCCTAGATCAGAAAGTAAATTTGACCAAAACTCAATTTACAACAAAGATTTGGTTGTAAATACTTAGTTTTTGTACTCGATTTCGGGCGCAATGGCTTTTAACCCGTTTTGAACCCGGTTAATAAAGCGCCGGATTATAAAGATATAAAGACCCGGGTGCTTGTTCGTCTCTCGTTTGTTTTTTGTCATGGAAGTGAATAAATAATTTCGACTCACCCGTAGAACAAAGATCTATGTGCAAACTACTTGTTCTCAGGACATAGTACATTTCGTTCGATTTTCATCGATGTGGATGTCAGATTGACCGTTATTCGATTTTATATTTCCGAAACGAAATAAGAGATATAAATTTTCAAAACACCTTTACGTAAGCCATAGTTTGAATAACGAAATTATTCTCGTAACGTACTTATTCCCTTTTCGCTATATAGTCACGTCCGACTTTGTTCTTCGGATGAGTCGACTTATCTATTTATCTATTTTTTTTTAAGTTCAATTATTCGATTAAAATCATTTTAACGTCATCCGTTAGTGTTTAATTTTTTTTTTCAGCCGCCATATTTTTGTTGTAACGTATTTCTGGAGACTGCTCTTATGTATACTCAAACATATTGTGTAATAGTACGTGTAAGTGTGATGAAAATATAATCACAGGATGCAGAAGCGAAACTGGCCCAGAGCCAGCTGGAGCTAGCACTTGCCGCGCAGGATGGGCAGCGGCAGGTGGTCCAGGCGCTTAACGATCAGCTGGCCAGGCAGATTGACGAGCTGGTGAGTAAATAAGGTTTCACCTAGTTGATCACATGTCACAAGTATGTCTCAAGTATAAAGCATATATACTTTGTAAGTATAGTGAATAACCTAACCCCCGGTTAAAAAAACCAACCTCAAAAGTCATTGGGCCCCTAGTTTGCCACGTTTAGAGGTGGAATATTTTCTTGAAATTTAAATGGGACCACATCTGAGGTACCTTCTTTCCAACAAAAAAAGAATCATCAAAATTGGTTCACAAATGACGGCGTTATCGCGTAACATACATACAAATAAAAACATACAGACGAATTGAGAACCTCCAGCTTTTTTTGAAGTCGGTTAAAAATAGGGCGGTTTGCACTAATGTTATTATTATTAGTCAATATTAATTTAGAAAAGTTTTTTGCCACAAAACCTTCTGAACTTACACTACCATATCCTGAACTAATGCATTACGCCTTTTAACTGACTTCAAAAAAAGGAGTTGATCCGCAATCTTCGCTTCACTTCCACAGACAACGATTCACCGCGAGATAAACACAGCATTGCAAACATGAAACAACGCGTTCGTGCAGCCGCCGCCTATATACGCTAGCATCCGAAAAGACCGGCGCACCCCCACCAACACCCTGCCATTGCTGCTGCGCGACAAGTCTGAACGAAACGAGCGGAACGAACGAAGCGATCGAAGCGAGCGGGGTGATCGTGCTGAGCGCGGCCAGGGCGTCGGGGCGGCGGCGGGCGAAGAGCCAACCTATGTAACGGTAAAGGCGAAAAAATGAAAAGTGCTCTCGGTATTTCGCAAGGTGCATGAGTTTTTTTAAATTATTTTTAACATATTTGGTATGAATAGATTTGCAATCTTTTAGAAAAAAAATCTGATCGTGCTGTGACTCTTGCGTCATAGAGAATCGATCGGAGCGCTGCGACCATTGACTTACAATTATAAAGTCAATGGCTGCGACGGACAAAAATGGCGGATAATATTGGTGTTCATTGTTACTTATTGCAGTATAATTTATGCCAAAGAGGAATTATATCAATGTTTATACAAATACATGTGAAATGCTAACCCGTTTGAAACCTCTACAAGATAGCAGCTACTTTAAATGATACTCTCTGCATATACATATGTATATCATATTATGTGGCATAATTATTTTGCGCACTATAAATATTCAAATATTTATTTTATGAATTCGAATAAGTGTTCGTGTACGGATTTATAAGTATGCGTAAAGTTATTATGTAACTTAATATTGGCATAATTTAATTGATATTCGTATCGCGTGTCACCAGAGATATCGTTATGAATAGGGAGTCGGACCACTTTTAAAGTTATTTAAAAAAGCTTTTGAAATCCCTAAAACCATGTTTCTATGCAATTTAAAAAATGAATTCCGCGCAAAAGAACCCGTGACGTCATTAGTATCTTAGACCGTGCACTTGCCACTTGCGAGAATTTTACGTATTATTGTCTACCGTTTCCACTTCAAAATGTTTACTTTTTAGTTATAAAGTTATTAACAGAAAAAAAATCCTTGTAACATGTAAACAGTGAGTACGGTGACGTATCTTTGCTTACTTACATATGACGTCACGTGGTGTGTTTGTATAATAGATTAGAAATATATTTGTTGATTTAAAAAGACAAACATAATTTCGCAAAGATTGAATGATCATTTTTATTTATTTTCTGACAATTGTCCGATCGCTTATAATATCGACACTGGAAAGGTAAAACGTTTAACGTGCGTTTTAAAAATATTACAGGAGAACAATTAAAAGTAATTTAAAAAAAAATCATAACTCTAATTTTGTTTGTTTTAAGGAAAACTAGAAAGTTTCAGCTTTTCCATATAACAAATAAAATCAGAGTTATGATTACAATTTTCTTAAAAAAAATACTTTAAATCGCTCTCTTGTAGTATTTTCCACATTCACGTTAGACGTTTTAACTTTCCAGGGTCGATATCATTTTATACAGGAGCTGTTTGTGACTTACGTACTTGTCTCCAGTTGCCCTTAAATGTATACATTCTCTCATAGCGGTATCTTATCAATAAATACAGGGTCAGAAGAAGTACGTTGAGCTTTACCCTTAAGGCTTATATTCAACTCTTACCGTAACATCGATCCTAAGTGTCAAAAGCTTGTTGTGTTTCGGCTGTATATATTTCAAAAGAAGTCAAAAGTGTCAAATGACACTATAAATATAATTGAATAACGTCATTGTTATTACTAATAGTCACCTTCATTGATGTAATGAAAGTTAAAGATTGCAAATCTAGTTTACTGTAGAAACATCTTTTGTAAATACGAGGAGAGTTTGATTGTTTCGTCAAACGTTGAACAACATTGTTAGGAGACTTTACGAAATCTTTCCGAGGCGTTTCATTAATGCTGAGACTCAAGATTACATGAAATGGTCTAGATTTCAACGTGTAATGTAATCCGTAAACGGGAAGCGGTTAAAATGTTCTCGCGTTCAATTGTTCTCTCTTCACTCCTAATGAATTATGAGAATGCTTGCTGTAGGCGTGCACTAAAAAGAACACCAAACTCGAACGTGGGACTGCGAGATCGCGTCCTGTCTGCAGAATCCCTTATATACTTTCGATAAATGTAAAATACTGTTCATCAACAAATGTGACGATGAAGTGTTTTCATAAGTAAAGAAGCAATCAAACTCTTTCAACCGATATATTTGTACGATATAAGTACGTCACATATTTACTGTAAATTAATTTTCGTATAAATCACAAACCGCCTCAGATATCATATAAGTTTCGTCTCGATAATCTACAAAACGTCACACTTATTCCTATTTACCATTAAGAGCAAAACGTTTACCATATTTTTGCAATAAACGGTTACTGCAAAGTAGACGCTCTTCCCTTTATGCAGGACACACTTTTAAACATTCGGTCCTGAAATTAAGGCGCACCACATATCGAAGACCTTTGTTTAATACATAGTTAACAAACTTATTATACTCCGTCCATCCATTTATTTAACTTTTGACATATGCACACCTCCGAAGTTCCGTAATTATTGACATACAACCATAGACACAAAAATTACAATACTTCCTCGACTCTTTTATTTTTTGATTTTAGTGAAGTGACGTGCTCTTTAACTCCGATATTTATCGAGCCAACAGATAAAGTAACGATTATTCAAGTTGATAAATTTTGTTACATGTCTAAAAAACTATAATGAAATTAAATAAATTATAAATAATTATTGTTTACTATAATGAATCGTCGGATTCTTCTCCATATGAACGGGAATCATCATTTGAATTCTCATTAACATTTAGTTCTTGAGTACACAAATTGTCAAACGCAACATCACGATCCCAGTCAGACAATATCTTCTTTTTTGAACCCGCTCACATTCACGATTAAAATTTCTTCATAAATAAAATCGATTGTTATAAAAGAAACGCAACAGGATATTTAAAATTCGAGCTCTCAAAAGTTAAATAAATGGTTGAACAGAGTATAATAGATTACGGTGTTCACAGACTTCAAGTTGATTGTTGTTACGATAATTGAACAAAGACAGAGAAAAATACCTTCATTCCGACTGGCCTCGAACCAGTGTCTGTTGCCTCAACGTGGTTACAGTTCTTACCAACTGAGCTACAGATAGAACTATTACGAATTTGCCTACGTGTTTGCTACATATCTTTTTAATGTTTTAACGGCTTTTTTGCCTAGGCACCATCTGTGGGAAGCTTATGAAAGTTTCCTCACTCAGCCAGGTACCTTTACAGCTACCAGAAGACTGACAAAGAAGTCGCTATGTTAATTGCAACACGTGGTAGCTTTATATAGACCTAAGGGGTCTACTCTGAAACAACTACTATCAAATAAGCAATACTCGGTCAAATTAAAAGATAGTAAGTATCAAGTATGAAGCTTCATTCGCATTATGCGTCTTTTAATTACTTAATTAAACTGCCTCCTTGGTACCAGAGGTCCCAGGTTTGATTCCCGGGCCGGGACAAATATTTGTATGGCCTACGTTTATTTATCTCGTGAGTTTGGGTGTAATTTGTTGTTATCTATGTGTGTGTCCATGGCACCCGCGATACAGGGTTTCCCTAGTGCGGGGCTATGTTGGGTGTATGCATCATTATTATTATAAATTAAAATTTGGTCGACTATTACTTATTTAACAGTAATGGTTTCGGATGGATATGTCGGACGGAGAACAAGTTTACATGGTCAGCTTCGAGTACAGTCGGATCGTAGTTATCTTTATTTGAGTAAGTTCCATCTATAAATCAATAATAATAACAATGTAGTGTAGTATTTTCAATACTACACTACAAAAATACTACGATATATATATATATATATATATATATATATATATATATATATATATA